GGGGGGGGGGGGGGGAGTGGACCCTGCACATGTGGGGAAAATGCTAGGAAGAAAAAAAATTATTTCAGAGACAATTTAACATGGGTCTCTTCAAGCCAGGAATCCTATTCTAGAACTGTCTTAATACATTTTAAATACATTTTCAACTAGTGCTTGCTGTACAGTTCCTTTGATTTTGTAAATGTGGTAAAATCCCTTTGGATTGGTTGAGCAATCAGAAGGCAGGAAGGCAGGAAGGAAGGATCCTGCAAAAGTCCTCCTTCAAATTTCAACACCTTCAACTGAGAAGACCCTGTTATCAAATCTTATTCACAGATGGGAACAGTTCCCTGCTAGAACTTCAGCTCTACTATCAACTCAAGGCTATTTTTCCAGTGTTAAGTTATATGAAGGCCACAAAACTAATATCCCCTACCAATTTCAGGACAGGAGTATACTTTTTGAGCTCTTCTATAGATGACCAGAAACTTCCTCTGGGTTTAGGGAAAACATGTTGTTGTTTTTAAAATATTGCTTTAATTTTTACAGAATAACTTAGGAAATATATTTCATAATACTAGTTGTTAAAAATCTACCATGTAAAATACCATGTAAAAATCAATGACTTACAGGAAGTCCACGGCCTCCAGGCAACCCCACTTCACCCTGAAAATCATAAATGTTACATCATTTCAAATATTTAAAACATTTATACAACAAGGGGTTGCTGTTGTTTGTTTGTTTTACTTTTTGTTTAGGGACAGGGCAGAGTACAAGAATTGATTTATGTCATTTTTAGATTTCTTAATAATAAAACCGTAACTGAGAGCCAGTTTGGTGTAGTGGTGAAGGTGCTGGCCTAGAAGCCAGGAGACTGTGTGCTCTAGTCCTACCTTAGGCATGAAAACCGGCTGGGGTGACCTGATCTTCCTTGCCCTTTTCTCCACCATTTCTGATGTTACTACAAGTTCTTTCATTTCAGCTTCATTTTTATTCTTATCTACCTCCTTTATCCAAGCTGCATTCTCGTTGTATTTCTTTGGGTTGTCCCTTAACCGCCCCAGAACTGCACTGTTTCTTCTTTGTCAGGTGTTCACTGGTTCATTGCCATCTCTCCATTGATGGACTGGTAGAAACATTTCTGATTCAACTGAAATTGGAGATTCTTCCCGTAGCATGCAATTTGAGCTTCATATCTGCTGATCTTTCTGGCTATAGCTGTTATTTGCTGCTTTATTATTTCCAGTGCTTCCATGATCTTCCTTGTTTCTAAGTGATATTTCTTGATCACGTATTCCTTGGTCTTTTGTTCTTCAGGTTCTTTTCTTTCATCTGTTCTGGCTTGCTTGTATCTGATCTTAGCATGCTGATGATATTATTATTATTATTATTATTATTATTATTATTATTATTATTATTATTCACCAGCTGACATGTATCTCTAATCCTATAATTAAGTAAAAGCATATGGGGATTGAAAAATGGGAAGGAAATCTAATGAAAGAGTATAATCTTACCTTTTGTCCTTTTGGACCGGCTGGACCTGGTGATCCATCAGGTCCTGTCAATCCCTTTTGAAATAAAATATTAACTTTTAGTGCAGTCATAGCAACCTTTTTAGTAGCTAAAAATATTGAAAAAAGAATGTGATGATCTGCTAGATATACTGTCTATTTCTCTCTGTATATGCTCACACACACATGCACACCCACACACACATGTACATCAAGAGTAGAATCCAAGACTTTCTATAGCTTCCAAAAGAGCAGTTTCTTCAATCCAATTTCAGGATTCAGATGCAGAAGCAACACCCTATATCCAATTTAAAGAGATCATGTGAAAGGCCTCCAGATAATAAATTGTTATTCAGAAAATGGAGATCTCTTCCCAGTCTGGCATTCAACTCAACAGGGAAAAGCATAAAACTTTGGGTTGGACTTTAGATACTGCTTTTTGGCCCAGAAAGAATGGGAAGAAGCAGCAGAAAGTGATCCGAGCATTCGAGAGCAGTGTTTTACTGGAGGACACTGCATTTTTTATCTGCCTGGTCAGCTTACTGTGGAGCCAAGATGAATTAGCAGCCCTCTGCCTCAAACCCTCTTCTATCAAACATGACCTACTTCTTTGTACAGCTGTAAAGCTAAATATTTTGGAAATTAAATGTACAGTGTAATATTTTGTATATGTTACAATATTGTTATAGGAAGGAAGGAAGGAAGGAAGGAAGGAAGGAAGGAAGGAAGGAAGGAAGGAAGGAAGGAAGGAAGG